CCCGAAGGACCTATGTACTGTATTTGTCCCGAATGACCACTCCTTAAGAACTATATACATATTCCAGTGGATCAAATCTGTCTCAAAAGACACTGTAAATGTTCCAAATGATACATATATGTCCCGAAGGACCACGTAGAACCCTCGACTCTTGGCATGCCAACTATACCTATAGCTCTCACATCGTATACCATGGGCATTATTCTTATATTTCATATATTCATGTATTCATGTCATTTCTCTTGTGATCATATAACTCATATCACTTACCATTTCACATGTGCATTTAAATCTATTCACATATATATCATTTATCAAATCATATGAACATATACACTTTATGCATGTATCATAATAATTATCATGTATGCATGTTCATAACTATTGTGATATGAAAATCATCATAGGAATTAGACTTATCACAAGTCTTATTCCATTGTACCATACTTCTAATATGTACTCAACTTAGCATTGCTTTGACTCGATTCTAATCCTTCAATTGTTCCGGAACGAGATTACGTTCTAAATCTACATATTAATACATTGATACATATCAATATACTAATTGATATATTCTAAACTATCATTCCTTAGGCTAATAAGAAAGCTATTTTTATCTTTTAATGAAGGTATGCATCGATGCACTACACCATGTATCGATGCATCCCTTGACGGGTGCATCGATGCACTGTCTATGCATCGGTGCATAAATCCTATTCGATGTTTGTATTTTAGGCAGGTGCATCGATGTACTCCTTATGCATCAATGCACTAATGGCATTCGATGTTTCCATTTTTAATGGGTGCATTGATGCACTTCCTGTGCATCGATACACACTGAACAATTTCTGGAAATACCCTTGATGCATCGGTACACATTGAATGTGCATCGATGCACATAGCCCAGAAATGTCATTTTAAGCTCGAAACCCATCAACTCTTCACTCAATTCTTCTATTTTAAGCCCTATCATGACATTAAACTCAACTACCATTACTTAAACCAACTTATATCCATATAAACCCTCTTTATCTTCCATATCTCATCATGATTCTTAAAATTTTAAGAATCTTACCAAACTTTCAACTTTGTTATTAATCCTTTCCAACTTCACAAATCTCTTATTCTTATTGATGGCAAGTCAAATTCAACTTTCAATTCTTATTATAAACTCTATTTCAAGATTTCACTCAAAAACTCCAACTCTTTAATCTTCCCTAACTTCTTTATCATTTGATTTTAAGATAACTTAAGCTTTCCTTAAGCTTAGTTATACTCTAATGATCATAACCCAACCTTAATTTAACCAAAAATTATCTAAATAGAAAACTCACATTTGCTTGGCTTCACACGTGAAGAAGAAGAGAAAGAAAGAGAACTCTGGAAACCTCTAAACTTTGTTTCCTTCCTTCCATGTGTATCTATATATACCATTATTAAATATTTTTTTCTTTGCAATTGACCATACTATCCTTTCATTCATCATTCTTTTCAATTTAATCCTACACCACATTTCTCATATAAGTCTATTAACCATTCAATTATTCTAATTAAATCTCCAGATTTTGAAATCTTACAATTTAGTCACTAACCCGGTATTGAGGATGTTACACTTACGGTTGAAGGATTTGAAAGTCCTCATTTTTATGACTATGATTTATTCCAAAAAAAAATGGTTGGCATCAAATTCAAAAGCCAACACTTCAAACATTTTTCTGTATATTTTGATGAAAAGTTGTAGGAGCGAAGCAAAATTATTTAATATGACATAAAATTAAGAGTTTCATTTAATTAATTTATTCACTACTCAAAATTTTATGTGCCTTTTTCAAGCCATAAAGTTCGCAATATTTCAAAAATAAATATAGATGGTATAAAAACAATGACAATTATTATTTTTAGGGTAAACTACATAGTTGGTCACTAATATTTGGGGTAGTTTTAGTTTTCCCCATTGATGTTTCAAAAGTTACAAATCGATCACTAATGTTATCAATTGATTACAAACTGGTCACTCAACGTTAACAGACGTTAACATCCATGACAAAAAACATACCTGACACGTTAAGTGTGCTTACATGGACTGAGGTTGATTGGGTTGATCCCCATGTTGGAGACCTAAAAGACTTCGACGGTCACCTCTTCTCCTTTTAAAAAATCAAATCCTTAAACTAAACTTAGGGATTTTCATTCCTATATCTTTACCCCAAAAATTTTTGTTTGAAAGTTGCAAGAGATATCCCGTGAAGATGAAAGACTCCATTAATGTACCGCTTCATAATATCCTGCTTTTATCCCAAAATTTACATTCCACCAAAACTTATATTTTCATTCATGTATTTTTGCCCCAAAAATTTTGTCTAATTTTTTTTTTATTTTTCTATCATGGATACTCATCATCAGCAACATGAAGAATAAGAAGAAAGAAAATTAAAAGAGGAAATAAAAGAAGGGTCGTCATCATCAGTATTACCCCCTGTTTTAGCTCATTCTCATGAATTCTCCTTGACAATCTATTTCCGATTATCTTTCGATTTAGTCTTCAATTGTAAACTTGAAACCCCATCTTCGATCGTTGTCGATTTGTCTCCCACTGACGACATTTTCTTCTCATTCCTCACCTCCTTATCCCCCATGTTTATCAACAAGTTCATTGGACAGCTTCAACATTCATGGGAGAGAGTTTTTTTATGACCCAAGACTTGTAAAACTTATCAGCAAAACTGATGACAATCTCCGAAAGCACGAAAGGGTTAGCCACTGTTGACATCATCAAAGCCACGCCATTGAAGCATAAGTGAAGAACAAGTCAAGGTCTTTCTCTTTATTTAGTTTAAAAACACAACAAAAATGGGCCTCAACGTTAGAGAAATAGAATCATAAGAAAAAAGATTAGATTCGATGTGAGTCAAGCGTTGAAGAGGTATATGAGAATGATTAGGCCACTGTTGTTCTTCAGAAGAAAGAGTTAGAGAATGTAAATCTCCATAGCCAAGCTTACTCGTTTTGTGGTTATTGGAGTTCAAGGAACAAAAACCCAAGGTGGAGGGGAAGGAGGAAAGGAGATTATTTTTCAACTGATGAGAACGTCACTTTCTCATGGTAGTCTTGTTGTTTTCCAATGGTTGTCCATCGTGGCGGTCAAAAGTACATGTAAACAGTTAACGTTTCAACTGTGTTTTTCATCACGATTGTTAACATTTGTTAATGTTGAGTGACCAGTTTATAACCAATCGATAACGTTAATGATCGATTTGTAACTTTTGAAATATCAATGAAGAAAACGAAAGCTACCCCAAACATTAATAACCAACAGTGTAGTTTTCCCTTTTTTATTGATCTATAATGAGTGCATTATATGTTTTCAAAATTATCAACCATTTAACACTAAGTATTAAAAATTATGTTATCATCATTATTTAAACTTAAGACTTCTAAAGATATTCACTATCTTTTTAATTACTAAAGTTGTTTAATTTATGTGATTATTATTATTGTTATTATTAATTTTTTAATATCTTATTATATAAGTTTTATAATTCGTAACATATGATAAAAATATCCGGCTTAATCATGATGGTGGCCTACATGTTTTGAAAGACCCTACTCCTTTATGGATGCCGATTGCCATTTCACTTCACAAATAAATAAAACTCATAATAACATTCCATTTTCATTGCCGACACAAATGACAAGGAATTGCTTCTTTTAATAAACCAAAAGCCCATAACTCATTCTAAAACAACAGCTATTACTGAGTCACGTCCAGTTTGATTTTCTTTTTATTTTTCATTTCTGAATTACAAACGAGTCCAACCAGATTCACGTATAGTTTCATTATTTATTTTCTTTTTGGTATTTATAATTTTATTATTTCTATATATAAAATATTCTATATAATTAACAATGAATTAAAGTTAAATAAATTTGTTTATTATAAATTAATTATTCCAGCTGAGGCTGTTAGACCAAAGTTCAGAATACACACAACCCAAAGTCTTGTCTTCAAATCTTTGGACAAGTAATATGTATGTACTTATCTCCTATTGTAGGTATTGATTTTGACATTTAAATCGAGTAGAATTCAATTAGTAAAAATTTAAATTTAATTTAAAGTAAAAAATTTAATTTTTAAGCTTATTTAATTATCTGTATCTTACTTAATACATTTAAATTCAAATAATAGAAAATTTTCAAGCTAATTTTAAAAATGAATTGACTTACAGATTATAGAGAGATACTTTGAAGTCTTTTAAATTAATATCTTTAGTTGTACATGTTCCACTTGATAATAATTAAACCAAACCAAAATCGTATCTGAACATAAAGTTTCTCATCTGAATTGTGTTGGTCAAAGAGATTATTTCATATCTTAAAAATGATTATAATATATAGAAATATAATAAAATAATTATAATATTTAATTTAATATTTTTTTTATTTAGTATTAAATTCTAGGTCAATATTATTTTTGAAATTTAGATTTTGAAATTTTGATCGATGTGACATTAATATTCTGTCACTTAATATTATTTCAAAATGATAAAAACAGAAAAAATATAAAATTTACGAAAAAAAATCAATATTACTAAATTCGGGCCAAAATTTGTTTTGTCCTTTTAAAATATAAAGGGGATGGTGTCTAGGTAGACTAGGTTCAGTTTTGTTATAATTTAATTTCTCTGAAAATAAAAAAGTTGCCTTTTCCCTTCCTCGATCTCCGTGCTAAGATATAATCCCAAATGGTAATAACGTGACGTTAATCTCGCCATTGTGCATGTGCTTGCCTTCCCATCACTCTTCCTTTCCTCCCAAACACTCACCAAGCTCCCTTCCCTTTCACTTTACATCGCCTTTCTTGCCTCTTCCACTGTTTTTTCCGTTGCAGAAAGTCAAGCAAACAGGAACTTTTCTCCCCCCAAAAATTCCCCTCATCTCCGTCACCGACATCTTCAGTATCTCACAGACCAATCAAATCGTTCCACTTCAGCAGGCGCCAAATGAGATCCTCCGCCTCCACTGCTATTTCCACAGCCACCAATGCCGTGAACCCCCTTATGACCTTCGACCACCATAGGTACTTTCTTCTCGCCGCGTGTCCATTTTATTTCTCTCTCTCTCTCTCTCTCTCTCTCATTCATCAACATGACGATCAGATCTTTTTCCCCCTACTTATTTTCATTATTTTTTGACTGTTTTGACTTCGATTTGGACTTTATAATTTGTAATGCGATTTAAAGTATTTGTGTGGAAAATATGAGCACGTGTTGTTTTCTAGTATAAGTCGACCATTTGATGCTGATTGCAGGTAAATTCTAGCGCCATTTTGATTGATTTTTCAGTTTTCATCCCTTTATTTTGATTCTTTTAGGTGAGATTTTCATGAGCAAGACTTTATTGGCGTCTATCAGTGTTTAGTTTAGTAATTGAGCGATGCGGTGGTAGATTGCTAGTGATTTAAGTTTGCTTTTACTAAGAACGTTCATGAAATCCGTGATCTTTTTAAATGGAACTTAGTTTGCTTTTGGATCAAATTGAACGGGAATTTAGTTGGTAATGGAAGGTACAGTAGCTTAGATATGACTATTACATGTTGTTTTCTAGAGAAAATATGAAAGTAGGTAATGTTTCGATTGCAGGTAAACTTAAGTTGTATTTGGATTACGTTACTTGGTTTCGCCTTTGGTTTGATCTTTCTGCTTCTTTCTTGCGCTAGATTTTATTTCGCAATGTGTTTTCTTGCTTTTGAAATTGATAAGGTTAGATTAATATTGCTAGTGATTTTAAGTTTTAAGATTGCTTTAGTTTATTAGAATGTTGCTGTAATCTTTGATTGTTAGAGGTTGAAGGCAACAAATTTAAGTTAATTTTTTCATAGGATATTTTGTGGAAATTTGCAATGTTTGTTTGAGATATTTTCATGGAATGATTTGTTGTTAATACGAAGGTTTCTTTGAACTTTTTTGTGAATATATTAATTTTATTATTGACAGGGATGCGTATGGATTTGCGGTGAGACCTCAGCATGTGCAAAGATACAGAGAATATGCTAATATTTACAAGGTACTTATATGGTTTCTACCTCTGCTTGTAATCTAAGGTTGTCACCTTCTTCCAGCTGCTGAAGAAAAACCCAAAAAGTACAGGATACATAAATGCTAATTCATACATCATGGTGAATATTGATAATGTATCAGAGATATTCTCTGAATCTACAGAACAACTTCAGCAAATAAATTAATATTTTTTAATAATATACATTATGTTAATATTTAAATTAGCATATTTCCCCTAATCATTTTTCCTGTCCAGTTATGGCCCCTGAATAATATCAAGGTCTATGATTCAGAAATTCAGTAGTTTCTTTGACTAATTCTTGGGCGAAAAATGTAGGCCAAGCCTAATAATTTCAGCTAAGATGAATAACAGGTTTATATTGTATCTAAACCCATGACTTTAGGAAGAAGAGGAGGAAAGATCAGATAGGTGGAGTGATTTTTTGGATAGTCAAGCAGATTCCTCTCAGTTGCCTTGCGAAGGGATACCTTCAAATGAAGGCAAGAAAGTCTCACATGCAGCAGCTGCAGAGGATGGGAACAATGAAATGCAGAAGGGAGCTGAAGGAGATAGTTTATGTGCAAGGAAATCTGGTTCTGATAGTATATATGAGAATGATACAGAAAAAGATAAGGTACGGTCTGAACCAGAGAAAAGAGTTCATCGAATCCAGATATGGACTGAAATCAGACCATCCCTTCAGGCCATTGAAGATTTAATGAGTATTCGTGTGAAGAAGAAAGACAGCTCGTCTAAAGATGAGCGAGAAACTGATCGGGGGAAGCCATTAACTCCTACTGAAGATGCTAGAATCCCGAAGGGAGCATCAGAGGAGGATTCTGAGGATGAATTTTATGATGCAGAGAGATCCGACTCTGTTCAGGATTCCCCTACAAGTGACAGCGGGAGTACCACTATAAGTTCTGCTGCTGTGGATGCAGCTTCTATAGAATCTTTGTTTCCCTGGAAAGAAGAGTTAGAAGTTCTTGTTCGTGGTGGAGTACCAATGGCTCTTAGGGGAGAGGTATTTTATTTGATGTACTTTCATTTTCTCTTGATCTTCCATACTGCCTATTTCCTTCATGAACTTGGTCATTACTCATTACAGCTTTGGCAAACCTTTGCTGGTGTGAGGACACGTCGACTGGAGAATTATTATAAGGATATGCTTTCTAATGGAAATAACTCTGTCAACAACACTGAACAGAAGTGCTTCCTATCAGATTGTAAGGGTTCAACCATGGAGTCAATATGTGGTCCCGAGAAATGGAAGGGACAGATTGAGAAGGTTGTTCTGTGTGAAGTTTTCTGAATTCTGTATTCTGTTTCTTCAGCAGCTGATGCTACCATTTCTTTTTGGTGTTATTGTTATTAGTTTGAGTTTCATAACTGATTAATGGTTCTAAAAGCAGGATTTGCCCAGAACATTCCCAGGTCACCCTGCTCTGGATGATGATGGTAGAAATGCTTTGAGACGGTTGCTTACAGCATATGCTCGACATAACCCCTCTGTTGGGTACTGTCAGGTACTAGGTTCAGAAATATGTTTCCCTTGTGCGTGTTTGGAGAGTTCTAAATTTTATAGGGATGAGTTTCTTTTCTTTCGCATGCAGGCCATGAATTTCTTTGCTGCATTGTTACTCCTCTTGATGCCTGAAGAAAATGCCTTCTGGTAGGTTATGAGACTCAATTGAGAAAATTCCTTGTAAACCCCCTATTCCTTGTTCTATCTGTGAATTTTATTTTTCACTGAGGCACTATTTTGTTGCTGTGACATAATTACTCTGTTATGCACATGATTTGCATGTTTTCTTATCTTGTTTATTTGGTAGAAATAGAATTCACTATGTTTAATGCCTAACATGACCATTAATAATAAGTGCATTATTGGTTTTATATCCTTTTAAAGTTGTGGTATACATTCCAGGACTTTGGTGGGCATTATTGATGACTATTTTGATGGCTATTATTCGGAGGAGATGATCGAGTCTCAGGTAATATTTTGCAAAAAGCCATAACTCTTTCTCCTTGTCGGTCAATTTCTAGTATTTGCTTTCTCCTAATTAAGTAAATTAAAGAAGTTGATTGTTATTATTTAGATAATTATCCTTGTAATTTGTGGCCTTTTGTTAGGTTGACCAACTTGTCTTTGAGGAGTTGATGCGTGAAAGATTTCCCAAACTGGGTTTGTTTTCTTTCAATATCTGTTCCCTTGTGCTTGAATTTTCCACGTGTCTTTCCATTGCAATTTTTTGTGCAGGCAGTTTATGATAGACATTTTTTGTTCATTGCAGTCAATCACCTAGATTATCTGGGAGTGCAAGTGGCATGGGTTACTGGACCATGGTTCCTTTCCATTTTCATGAACATGCTTCCCTGGGAAAGTGGTCAGGTTCCATGCTGTGTCTTGTAGCAATATTTTACTAATCACTATTTAAGAAGTTCCTTTTATGGTTGCTGCCTTTGTTGCTAGTTTACTAATGATGCACTCTCTTTTAGCACAATAAACTGTCCTTATTAGCTTTCTGATGGGTTTCTCCTCATTACAGTTCTTCGAGTCTGGGATGTGCTCCTCTTTGAAGGAAATCGTGTCATGCTTTTTAGGACAGCACTTGCTTTAATGGAGTTATATGGTATGGGTAAACTGAAATTTATGATATTATCAGGAAAGATGAAGCTTGGAAATAGTGACAATGAGCTGCGTTAATCTGCTAAATGTAACTAATTTTCTTACAGGCCCTGCACTAGTTACAACTAAGGATGCGGGAGATGCAGTTACTTTACTGCAATCATTGGCTGGCTCCACATTTGACAGCAGTCAACTTGTATTGACAGCTTGTATGGGTTACCAAAATGTCAATGAAAAAAGATTACAGGAGTTGAGAGAGAGGCATCGGTCAGCTGTAATAACTGCTGTTGAGGAAAGATCAAAAGGGCTTCAAGCTTGGAAAGATTGTCATGGCTTGGCATCTAAGCTATATAATTTTAATCATGACCCTAAATCAATGCTTGTGGAAACAAATAAGGCAGGACAACTGGTCGATTTACCAACAAATGTGGATCTCTCTCGTTCAGAGTCTGGATCCATGAATGAGGACAAAATTCTTATTAGTCTGACTGGAGATGCTGACTTGCATGCTATACCAGATTTACAAGAGCAGGTATCATTTACATTTCCCTTTTCGTGAATACAAGATTTCATTTTTTTTAGTGTTGCATTTGTCTGCGAGTGGATGATCTTGGTTCCCTAGCCAGTAGAATAGACCCATTTTGCACGACCACTCACTTGTTTGCATTGTGAATTAGAAATATATTGAATTTGAATAACGTGATGCACTCGCTGTTCTTGAGAACTTTTCCTAGTTCCATATATGATTGACCCTACTATGGATACAGTGGTACAGAATTGAACGGAAGATATTTCCTTAAAGGTGGTTCAGAAGGATTCATGGTGGCCAGTCACAGTTGCTTGGTTCTGTACTTAATTAGTTGAATAATTCTTCTGTCAACAATAATGTACGCATATGTTAGATTGTGTCATGAGCTCTCTTTCTAGTGTCAAATTTTAGAGCCATATGGAACCTATTTCAAATGCTGTCAAGGATGATCAAATTGATTCTGAAGTTCATATCAGAAATTTTATTTTGCCATCTTCTATAAACTCTCAATAAAAAAATCTATTTTTTTGTCTGTGTGAATTTTTGTGTTGATTTCATATGCAAAACGACCCACCTTGGTTAACATAAGCCTTACTAATAAATTTTGGATCTATAGGCACTGGCAACTGGCAAGTTGATGAAATTAGGAAAATCATACTCAAATCATATCAGAATTCTTTGCATGGGATTTTGTTAGCTTGGTTTATTTTGTTCCAATCGCCTTAATTTCTTGTTAAAATCATGTGCAGGTTGTATGGTTAAAGGTTGAGTTATGCAAGTTGCTGGAAGAGAAAAGATCAGCTGTCCTCAGGTCAGTAATTTATATTATCTAGATGGTTTTCAAGTTTTGCAACCCACGGTTTGCCATGGACTGTTTAACAGAGGCAGTGCAACTTGTTTTGTTGTTGTATATTTTAATTCTCACTTGCTGTTTACTTATTTTATACATGGACATAGCTTAGCTACATTACCTTGGTGTACATATTGGATATTTAACTACGTAGCATTTTATGCTGGAATTATTGGCTTATTTGTTATAAAATAATCCTGTTTTCCACTTCTGCCAAAATAAACCTTTTTGAATGTGACACCGACAATCTCACTTCTTCCTCATTTGTTTCAGATCTGAGGAGCTAGAGACGGCTTTGATGGAGATGGTTAAGCAGGATAACCGGCGTCAATTAAGTGCTAGGGTAAACTGGCAAATCTTTATTAGTGACAGTTATTTTGACATGGATATATTGTCCTTGGAATTTTTCCCCATTGTAGATTTTCCAACTTTATTAGGACCATTATTGAACTACAGCCATCGTTATACTTGTTTGCTTGCTTTTCTACCTGGCACGTTGTGCTCCCTAATCGAGTTGTATGCTGGGATTCTCAATTTATGTTCTATCTCTAGCAAATACAGGGCATACAATTCGATTATTGTTGCTACCGTACTACCAGAACTTGCAAAAAGCCCTTGTTTCTGGTTGTCATGGCTCTTGCCTGAATCACTGACATATATACAGCTTGCTGGCAATCTATTTGCTTGATGTTCTGTGTTCTCCTGACTTGAACGTTGCTAGGTGTTTTCTTCAGAGAAATATATCTCATGCTAAGCATCCACATCTTATTTCTAGGTGGAGCAATTAGAACAAGAAGTTGCTGAGCTTCGTAATGCACTTTCTGAGAAGCAAGAACAAGAAAATGCAATGCTTCAGGTTTGATTGGTTTTGCTCGTGTTCAATTAGAGGAAGTTTGTATTCTCTTATTAGACATGTCTTGATGGTTATTAGGTTTGCTACACATTTTGTAGGTCCTAATGCGAGTGGAGCAAGAACAAAGGGTAACTGAAGATGCTCGCAGATTCGCTGAACAAGATGCTGCGGCCCAAAGATATACTGCTCAAGTGCTTCAGGTACTAAAATAAAATTTGTTACAATTGAGGGGGAAAATGAGATATTAAACCAATAATTTAATGTGACATGTCATCCCCTCAACATCAGCTAATGGAAAGGTGCCCATTTTATAACAAAATCAAAATTTTAATGTTTATTTTGTAATTTTTAGAAGTTTTGTGAAAAAAAAATCATTTCAGCATAGTTTAATGACCATTTGTATAATATTCAATAACGTGCTCTTTTCCATTTCTAGCAATCCCTCCCCAATAGAAAGAAAGAAATGCAAGTACTGAATATACGTTTATTTGGTTTCATCACCATTTGTTTAATGCAGGAGAAGTATGAAGAGGCCGTTGCTTCACTTGCTGAAATGGAGAAAAGGGTTGTAATGGCAGAATCAATGTTGGAGGCTACCTTACAGTACCAGTCTGGTCAAAGTAAAGTCCAATCTTCTCCACGGTGCGTAATTAACCTTTTTCCAATTTCAAAATGTTTAATCGGTTGTGTGTGTCTGGAGCCAGAGGTTTGGCGATGACAACATTTATTGCTTTTCTCTGATGTTAGTCTTTCTATTTCTTGCAACCACATTACTCATCATGCTTGTGCATAAGTTTCTCCCTTCTAATTATTATAAGATTGCAGATCACCACATCCGGATTCACCAGCTCGCAGCAACCAAGAGCTCCAACAAGAAATCCCAGCCCGGAAGATTAGTTTACTCTCCCGACCATTTGGACTTGGCTGGCGTGACAGAAACAAGGTTTGTTTTCTCAGTTTTACTGATGAGCTGTGGGATGATAAGTTGACTGCTTTGCTTGATTAAAATGTTTAACAATTGGCACAGCGAAGTGATGAACAATCAAGAAAGATACAGATATTTCCTTGTACTTCTGATTTTAACAATATCCAACAAAACAGGGACAGCCGAGTAATGCAGATGCATCGGACAACGGGAAACCTGCAAATGTGGATCAGAATACCGAAATCCAACAGAAAGACACAATCGATAAGGAAACAAACGGCAAGGAAGCAAACGACGAGGAAACAGATAGAACCGAAGTTCCGGATAAGGCTTGAGAGGATTGCAGGTATGTCTTGTTTTAATACCTGCATACATCGCCATATCCATCATTTGATGCCTGCAATTCATCCATTAAGTAGATAAAATATTGAAATTTAGCATCAGCAATGCAGGAGAGTTCATAACTTTGTCCGTTGTATTTTTTTGATCGGAAAACCAAAATAATACTCGGCCATTAATATTATTTTTCATTTGCAACTAATAATGCTTGTCCGTAGAAAATGTAATAAGAAGAGATCATATTAGAAAATGAACTTCAAGTATATGTATGTTTTTGCCCCTTTTTCTTCCCTTCAGATTCTTGTATATTTTGGGTTAGTTTAGTATTTATAGAATATATCCCTCAATTTTGATTTCAAATTTATTAATTTATGCACGAACCGAGCGACTTTAGTGATAGATGAATTGTTGTTTTTTGTTGTCTTGGTTCGAGCACCAAGAATGTCAGGGTGTGAGCGTTCAATGCCAAATAATTGAAAGTTATCTTTGAACAGATATTGTCTTTGTACTTATTCCTGGTTAATAAAAAATATTATTAATTTAGTGTTATATTAAAAACTCAATTTCAGAATAAAACTTAAATAGATTTAAAATATATAATTAATAGCAACATTTTTGTTATTTTTTGTAAATAAACTATTTAACGGCGATTTGGGGCTACCCTATACCCAACATGTTACTTGTATTCTTATTACACTGAAATAGTTCTTCGACATGTAATGTGTATAAATAAGTATTTAGTTTTTTATTTAAATAAAATTTAATTTAAAAAAAGATTATTTAAAAACAAACCAAGTTAGACTAGTTTGAATATATAAACTATAGATATTTAAAGAAAAAATACTTCCAGATTTATTCAGAATAATTTAGGCAATATTATTTCATACGGCAATGGATTGGATAATTTGTTTTTGATATAAAAGAAATTAAATTCCAAGAAAAAAACCCAACTTAAAGTTTATCGAGTGTCGTATCAAAATACATAATTGAGGACTAGAGTGTATGTTGCTGAGGGTTGTGTGGATTGCAATAAAAAGATAAAAACTTGAATGATTACTTAGTTTTAGTTGGAGGTTCTTTTTATAAGTAAACCAAAAATGAATAAAACCTCTGTTACTTGCTATATCGCCACTCATCGATGTGGGAACGGCAGTCTGTATATCAAAAGACATTTTACATACAAAAGCTCAATTGTACATCAAACTTCAAAGAACACATTTTTGGACAAAATGAGAAGCCGGAAAACTCCTCTTACATTAGACAAGTTGGACGGGAATCGGATGGGCTATCCAGATTTGCAAAATTACTCATCCGAGGACGGCTTGGCAGCGAATTTCAGGCCGAAGAATCATAGATCTCAAACATATAAAACCTGTTGTTTCTTGATCTCAATCATCAGCTGCCGATGAATTCAATTTTTATCATATGGTTGATTCCGCTTTACCTGAACTATTCTCGTCTCATTCCTGGAGTGGAAGAACTGGTCCGAGATCCTTGAACTGAACGAGTTCTGGGATCGTACTTTTGCGAAGCAAGATAGGTGGGGGCAGTGACTACATCGGCTATCAGTGGCCGCATATTCGGCTGTTCTTGAACACACATTGCAGCCACAACTAGAGCTTGGTACAAACCCCTCACCGGATATAGACCCTGAAGTAATGGATTGGTCATTTGCGCAAATTTTCTCCGATCTTTAAACATTGGACTGGCCTGTTAAAGAGGAAGAAAAAACAAGCCTGTTAAATAAAAAAGAACGATTTATGCAATTACATAATGTGTGGAAAAACTAAAAGATTAGCAATATTTATTATGCTCCTTTCCAGTTTTACTTCGTCAGAAGGATTCTGCCTCGATGACCAAAGAATTCTCTACTATGTTGCTTTGACTCTTCATTTTTCTTGAAGTATGCGTATCCAACACTTATGTCCGACGCATACGCGGGCTATGGGGAAATGGCCCTCGAGATACATGAAAAAACTTAAAACATGGAATGAATATACTCATATCCGACACTTGTACCGGTGTCTAAGAAGCACAGATTCAGAACAATGGTATAGAGATGAGCATTGCCGTACATAACGTGTAGACAAGATGATCTTCCAAAGATCCTAACAGCATGTACTCGTAAACCAAAAGCCTTCGATCTCCATCAGCACAGTATCCGATTAGGATGGTGAAGCAGGCTCAACATCAATACTTGAACAAGGAATTCCCTGTTCCCTTGCAGTACGTTACGATCAAGCTGCTTGATTGCCAAAACCTATGTAACACGGGTGACAAAGTTAACTACAAGTTATGAATGATTAAGGGGTGTTTGTATCCGAAACAAAGAATATTCATGAAGAATGAAATTTCATGAGCCGACCTAACAAGCAGTATTATATCGTATGAATTTCACATATTTGTATTTCCTACAAAATTTACAGTCCTCTTTACACACATACTTGATTAGTGCTCTCCAATCGCCCTTTATACACTCGGCCAAAACCTGCTTCGCCTAAAAGGTAATCTGCCAGGAAATTCTTTGTTACAGCTGCCAATTCACGGAAGGTAAACGTCCGCGCTGCAATGTGATCCGACCCTCCATCCTTGTTAGCCTCTAGTACAGAATCAACCTGCAGTTTTTTTCTACCATGACATGGAAAAAACAAAATATGATAACTTTTGAAAATTGAGCCAGAAACATGTGGCACTACCACAGCAACAGAAGCCAAAGACGGGTTTTATTATTGATCTCATTAAAACAATGGATACCCTTTTATCATAGAAAATTATGTTACTCCAGCTCCTCATTTTTCTTTAAGTACTCATACCTGATGCATATCCAGACATAATTATAGGATTTGACCCTCCAGTATCATCCAACCACATGAAAAAACTTATCGAGCATACTTGGGCCCGACTCTCACAGCTAAGTCCGAGCAACATATATTGAAAATGAAGAGTGCTTCATTTAAGTATCCTTTCTCAGGTTCTCTCCATACTAGTAACAATATGCTTGAACCATCTACAAACTTTAGGCTTTCATAGAAATTCTAACACGGAATTAAATTCACAGTCAAGCCAACAACTGAGATTCCGAATTAGTATATATTAATCCAAAAATCATTAGAACTAAGAACTAAAAAAATCCCATTTTTACAGGCTCAAAACAAACACAACAGAAAAATACTATTTTTCTCAATTCCTACACCATATCATACCGAAACATTGAAAACCCATAAAATTTGAAAATTATGAAATATAAAATTCTTGTGTTTGATCGGAGAAATATAAGATTACTTAAACATGTATTTTACTAAATTATTCTTGTAATATATATTTTTTCCAAAATGTTGAACTTTAATATTATATTATAAATATTTGAATAAAAATTTATAAAAGTATTTTAACCGTGTCACTATCTAACTTTTGAGAAAAAATACATTTAACATATAGTTAATAGAATTAGTATATCAAACTTATATTTTTAAATAATTTTCATGAGTATCATATTTAGTTATAAAGGCTTAACTGCACCATTACCCTTTAAAGTATGTCATTTGTACTGAGTTTCTCCCTAAAGTATTTTTCGGGACTTTTTGTCTCCTGAAGTTTAATCTTTACCTTGTTTGCCCCAAACCGTTAACTTCGTTAAAATAGCATGGGTAAATTACATAGTTAGCCACTCAACTATTTTTATAGTTTTGTTTTTGTCACTCCATTATTTGTTTTTCAAAATAATCATTAAACTTAAGTTTTTATTTTATTTTAGTCACCTAATTCGATTCAATCTATTTTTTAAATTTGTAAAATAAAATAATTCATTTATATCACATATTTTTTTACACAACATATAAATTTGATTTGTAATAATAAATTATATTATAACGTAAATAATAAAAAAACATATTAAGTTGTTTGTACTTGAAATTTTAAGAAAAGAAATATTAAATGTTAAATTAAAATATCATAAATATTTTAAGAAATAAAAATATGAACGAGTCATCATTTATTTATAAATATATATGTTTAGTAAAATTTAAATCTCGTATTTTGAATCGGACTAATTTTAAATAAGTATAAAATATATTTGTATTATTCTAAAGGTGATATCGAACAGCAATGAACTCCCATCCCATCCCACTAAGCTTCTAAGGTAAGCAAAGCCTTGAAGCAGTGACCCTCACATTTGTATTATTCTAGGAACCAATCGTCAAATTTTCTCCTTGAATGGTTTCTATTTTGTATTTTTGTAAGGTTTTGACCCTTGTGAGATATTTTACTGTCACAAAGATAGTTGCTAGCTGGGGGTTCCAGTGTTCAGATCCTCTCCCCTTACCTTAAACTTGTATCACTATTTCTCTTTATTGCTTTTCTACTAAAATATATTTTCCACAGTATTTATCACAACAACAATATTAAATAGTAATTTACCCATGTTGTTTTAACGAAGTTAACGGTTGGGACAAACAAGGTAAAGATTTAAACTTCAGGAGACAAAACGTTCCGAAAAATACTTTATGAGGCAACTCGATACACATATTTTAGGGGTAATGGTGCATTTAAACCTTATATAAAATATAATATAATATGAAAAAATGATATTGTGGTCTTGAGAAGGAGAAGGTGCAATGGGAGAATTGATTTGGTTCCCCTTGCATATTCCAAAACTTTCCATTGTTACTTGGATGGTCATTTTGGATAGATTGCTTATCAAAGATAAGCTCGTTGTATTGGAATAGACTCGAATGGAAGTTTTGGTTGATGTGAAGCTGGGGTGAAACACAGGAACCATCTCCTTTATAATTGCCCCTATTCTTGTAGTGTTTGGAATAGGATTATACAGACTTACATGTTACCTTATAGATTGTTGTGCTGGGAGGATAGTTTGACATGGGTTGTTGATAACTTGGAGAGGAAGTCTTTAGTTGTTTGTATTCTAAAACTTGCTTGGATTGGATTCATACATTATGTCTGGGAGGAATGTAATTACGGACCATTTACCGGGTCTTTTCGTTCGGCTGATGTTTTGTATGAATGTATTAGGGAGATCATCTATTTTAAATTGCATGGTCACTAAATTAATAGGATGAATTTGTACCCATGTCTTGAGTGGAAAATTCTTTAATGGTTCCCTGTAGTTCGTTCTTTGTTGTAGTTTTTGTTGCGTCTTTTGGATAAATATTAAAATGAATGATTTATCCAGAAAAAAATATTACTTTTCGTTGTATAAGATCCATTTT